ATCAATATTCTGCCAAGGTTTTCAACCCTTTGGCAATGTTTTCAATGTTGTGGCAGGTATTCAATACTGTGGGCATTCATTACCCACTAGTATTTTCAACAGATTCAGTATTCTAGTGAGTACAAAGTATTATCCTAGAATTTTTGCTAACTGAGAAAATGGCAGACTTTCATGGGATAAATTACCAAGTTTGACCTCATTCTTGGTGAGTATTTGCTACTTTGCCATTTGTTGCAAGGTCTATGGATGCCAGAGATTTTTTCATGTACCAGAACACATTTCGATACATCAAGTGTAATAATACAATTGATTGAAAACTTAAAAAAAAAAAATCACCTAATTATATTATGGCACTTTGTATACGAAATTGTATTTTCAGCTACATTATCCCTTCCCCTGCACGGCACACCATTGTACACCTCACGGGTCCATATGTCAATGGATGCATGGTGTAAATAATGTCTCACTCGCTGGTTAGATCTTTACAAGTTTACGAACATCACCATCTTCCAATCTCAAACCCGAGAACAATGATACTCACAATTTGATGAAACATAGATTATGAGTTTGGATGTTGGCTTTTCAATTTTTACCATTAATCTAGTTATTCGTTCAGTCTACAATTCGTTTGGGGTTGCCAAAGATTCTTTGCACAAATTTTAAATTTAATTGGATCCCTCAGTAAAAAGAGGGCTTCGAACATAAAAAGTTTTGAGAGTTTTTGAACAGCGAAGATAATAAAGTCCATGATTTTGTACTGGTTGTTTGTTTATTTTTTTTGAACGATGAAAACTGTTGGCTTTGAGATCTACGGTTTTATGTCTAACAGTTAAAAACATTAGGAAATATGTCGGATTCAGCTTTAAAATTCGGAGATTTTGGACCTTGAAGCTTTTCTTAAGGAATAAAATAAATATCGGAATCTTTCTTTTCCTATTTAAATGCTAATTGTTTTATTGTGATTTTGTATGTTTTCTTCGACGCCTGTTATTCTTAAATTAAGGTAGTGTTTTTTTGTTAGGGAGTGAACATGAATTTTAGAGACAGAAAAACAAAATCAGTAACATATAAACCTAAAATTGAAAATTAATCCAAAAATAACAAATAATTAGATAAAAAGTTATAGCCATATACATTTCTATATAATTTTTGAAAAAAAAGTGAAAAATTATGTAATACGAATTTGTCTATCAGAACATTATAATTGATACTATTAGTCAAGACTCAAAAGTTGGATCTTAATTCGTTGACTGGTATGCAACTACGAATTTTTCTAGATGCGAACAAATACATAGACCGAGAGAAAGCAAATTCGTTTACATACATACAAAATATTAAAGTCCCAATTAAGATGTTATGCTAGCAAATATATAGATAGAGAGAAAGTAAGTTGTTACATATGTACAAAATTATCTTAGTCGTCCTGATTAAGACGTTACTAGCGAATATATAGATCGAGAGAAAACAAGTTAAAATTACCCCAGTCGTCCTAATTAAGACGTTACTAGCAAATATATAGACTAAGAGAAAGCAAGTTGTCTACATACAAAAGTATGTCAATCTCAATTAAGACGTTTCCAGTAAACATATTAATTGAGAGAAATTGAGTTGTTTACCTACAAACAAATGTATCTTAGTCCCAATTAAGATGTTATTGGCAAATATATGGACTAAGAGAAAGCAAGTTTATATACATACAAAAGTACTTTAGCCATCCCAATTAAGACGTTGGTAGCAAATATACGGACCGAAATAAAGCAAGTTGTTTATATACATACAAAATTATCTTAGTCCCAATTAAGACGTAAGAAATTTCGTAACAACTGGCTGTATAGATGAGAAAATTATGTAGTACGCTATTGATAATTACTTATTTCAATGTACAACATTAAAAACATTAGGAAATGTGTCGGATTCAGCTTTAAAATTCGGAGATTTTGGACCTTGAAGCTTTTCTTAAGGAATAAAATAAATATCGGAATCTTTCTTTTCCTATGTAAATGCTAATTGTTTTATTGTGATTTTGTATGTTTTCTTCGACGCCTGTTATTCTTAAATTAAGGTAGTGTTTTTTTGTTAGGGAGTGAACATGAATTTTAGAGACAGAAAAACAAAATCAGTAACATATAAACCTAAAATTGAAAATTAATCCAAAAATAACAAATAATTAGATAAAAAGTTATAGCCATATACATTTCTATATAATTTTTGAAAAAAAAGTGAAAAATTATGTAATACGAATTTGTCTATCAGAACATTATAATTGATACTATTAGTCAAGACTCAAAAGTTGGATCTTAATTCGTTGACTGGTATGCAACTACGAATTTTTCTAGATGCGAACAAATACATAGACCGAGAGAAAGCAAATTCGTTTACATACATACAAAATATTAAAGTCCCAATTAAGATGTTATGCTAGCAAATATATAGATAGAGAGAAAGTAAGTTGTTACATATGTACAAAATTATCTTAGTCGTCCTGATTAAGACGTTACTAGCGAATATATAGATCGAGAGAAAACAAGTTAAAATTACCGCAGTCGTCCTAATTAAGACGTTACTAGCAAATATATAGACTAAGAGAAAGCAAGTTGTCTACATACAAAAGTATGTCAATCTCAATTAAGACGTTTCCAGTAAACATATTAATTGAGAGAAATTGAGTTGTTTACCTACAAACAAAAGTATCTTAGTCCCAATTAAGATGTTATTGGCAAATATATGGACTAAGAGAAAGCAAGTTTATATACATACAAAATTACTTTAGTCATCCCAATTAAGACGTTGGTAGCAAATATATGGACCGAAATAAAGCAAGTTGTTTATATACATACAAAATTATCTTAGTCCCAATTAAGACGTAAGAAATTTCGTAACAACTATAGATGAGAAAATTATGTAGTACGCTATTGATAATTACTTATTTCAATGTACATTTCCATGTTTTTGTTAAAGAAAGAAAAAAGTGACTATTAATTTTAAAACAATAGAATATTATATTGGCACTTTAAAATTTTCATTTTCCACTCTAATTACAGTAATTGACCAACTGAGCAAGAATGTTAATCCATATGTCAATCCCTTGATTTTTAAACCAGAAAAAATATTAACAATCTAGAATTGTACATAAATATTTCAACACTAAAGCAGCTCAACGTGTAATATTACAGTATACAATTCAACTAACATGATCAAAGTCTTGGCCAACTCCGGGTGCGAAATTAAAAAAGTGGCCGCCATATGATCATGCAACTTGGACAAAATATATTATAAGGTAAATTACATAAAATTACATTAACTATCAATCGAACCACAATTTCATACTTTATATTTTAAACATTGTAATGTCATATCTCAACATATGAATGTGTTGCAATGTCAGACATCCGTTAAATTTTCTGTCAATTTAGCTGCTAAATGATGACGTGATAGGAGTGGGGCCCACTCATTTGCCACCTTGAATAAATAATTAATTAATTAATTAATTAATTAATTACTAATTCTTATTTAACAATTAAACTTTATTAAAAAAAAAAAAAAAAAAAAAAAAAAAGCTCTCTTCATTTCCCCAGACATCGTCTCCTCCCCCTACTCCCTCCTCCCTCCTCCCTCCTCCCTCCTCCCTCTTCCTCATTCGTCCCCTTCACTCCCTCATCCGTCCCCCTTCTTCCTCGTCCATCCGCCGCCTTCGAGTCCACCGATTCGGACCAGCGAGTTCGTCATATCAGATCGGCACATATTCAATCTGTTCGACGGGAAAGATCCGGTGTTTTGACTCCCTCCCTGGTTCTTGTGGGGGTTGCAACGAAATGATCTGGCTACGACGTCGGCGAGCACATACATGTCTTCTTCGGCATCAAAATCGGTCCGGTTTTCTTTGAAACGGCAGTGGATCGATTCGAATGATGGTTGGGAGAAATCGAATGGTGGTTGATGGAGAACCGAACGGACGGAGACTGAAATGAGTAGGTGTAGAGGTTGACACGCATCGGGGAAGCGAATCTGTAGAAGTGGTGGTAACCCAGAAAACGGGAAAAAAAAGGGGAAAGAAAAAGAAAAAAGTTTGACTGTAATGAACTTCCATTCTTCAATTAATATTATGGAGGATTTCGAAAATCCGGAGTTCAGGGCGAATTTTCAAATGGCCACTTCTTGAATTTTTGAAAATTTAATTTCTCTAATTTAAAAAAAAAAAAATTAATTTCTCTAATTTCTTGAATTTTCTGGGTTTGTATTTGTGTTTTTCGTTTTGGGTTTTGTTTTTGTGGGGTTCGTCGTTTTGGCTTCCTGGAACTCTCCCTTTGCAATTTTATTTGGTGGTTTTTCTTAGAACTTGAAGAAGAAGAACTTGAAGAAATGGCAGTGGGGCGAAAGCCCCAGTCGGTGATGGGATTTGAAGAGAGGGAAAAGGATAAGGGGATGGTTTCTGATGCTCAGTTTTCCGAAATCTTAGTGAACTTATGATGAAGAAATCAAATTAGTTTTATGTAAAGACTGTTGGAGCAAGATGAGGGTCCGGTTTTGGTTTGCCATCAAAACCCACTTATTTGGGGTCTGGTTTTGGTTTGCCATCGAAACCCACCTGCGTTTTGCGATCGGCGGTGTATCAGTTGTTCCCGGAGGAGGACGAAAATTAGCTGTATTTAAGGAGGACGAGGAAGAAGGGGAGCGGGGAAGGAGTGATGGGAGGAGGAAGGGGGACGATTTCCAGGGAACAAGAGGAGAGGTTTTTTTTTTTTTTTTAGTTAATTTAATTGTCAAATAATTTATTAATAATTAATTAATTTTTTATTCAAGTTGGCAGAAAAGTAGGTCTCGTTTCTACCACGTCATCATTTAACAATCAGATTGACAGAAAATTTAATAAAGGTCTGATATTGCAATAAATTCATAAATTGAGAAATAACATTGCAATATTTAAAATATAAAATATAAGATTGTGATTTGACATGTAGTTTTTTGTAATTTATTGCATATTATATATGTATACGTTGTCAATATATGACTAAAATCTAATGGTCTGCTTCTTACATGCAATGCATGATTCAGCCAGCCGGAATACAAGTGTTGGTCGTTTAAGTTCACGTCGTCGAGGAGAGCAAATTCTGCACATGTACAATATGAAGATAAAGTTGATGATGAGGATACTATTACTCTGCTTCCTCAGCTGCTTCTGGTTTCAGCTGTCCTTTGCTCGAAAGGCTACCACTGATCCATCTGAAGGTTCTCTCTCTCTCTCTCTCTCTCTCACACACACACACACACTTTGCCACATTTAAGTGTTTTTGACCAGGAACTGGGTTTTTTCCCCTCAACAAAATGACATTTTAATTGTTCTTCAACTATATGAAATGAAGTTTCGAAGAAATTATTGTAAAGCCCTTTTTCTTCCCATATACAAAACATCCAAAAATTAAGGGTAATCTTCCTTTGTAATAATCAATTTGATCTTTCGTTTGGTTCGAGATAGTCTGGTAAGTGGTAACACAAGTCAAATTATGGTGTGATATAATCTAATACACACAAGGACTGAATTAACTGAAAGTGCAGTGAGTGCGTTGAACTCAATATTTGAGCAATGGGACACACAAGCAGTGCCGGGGCAGTGGAATATCAGTGGAGAACCCTGCAATGGATATGCCATCAACCGCACCCGCACCGACATCTATAACCCCGATATCCCGTATATCAACCCAGGCATCATTTGCAACTGTTCTTACGACAATGATGCTACATGCCATATCACCAATCTGTATGTTAAACTACTCTCTCTTGATGAACAAGATTTCCATGCCACTGCTGATTTTTCACTTGCTACCTATATATGTTAACGTCATAATTTGACTGTGTCGCTCCATTTTATGTAATTCTAACACTATGTTTGGATGAGGGAAATAAACATGGAATTTTGGTAAAAGTTGGAATTTATAAATTGACAGGCACCAATTCTCTTGTTTGGATTCATAAACATAGAAATTTAGAATTTCCGCGTGGAAAAAAAACTTGGAATTTGGGACCACCAAATCCCAAGTTCAAATTCCATGTAAATAGGTGTCATTTCTCAATTTCTATGATTGAGAGTTTAAAAATAACAAATTCCGTATTCAATTCCATTGTTATTTTAGGTTAACCAAACAAGAAAATTTACAAATTCTAGAAAATAAAATCTCGTCATTTCAATTTTCGTCATTTTTAAATTCCTTAGTAATCTTAAATTTCTTCACCCAAACATAAATGTTCAATCTTTTTGCTTTCCAGGACAGTGTCTGCTCTTAACAAACGAGGGGTGTTTCCAGAAGAATTTTTGGCTTTGAGATATCTCACATATTTGTATGAATTTTTTTCAACTCCCTTATCTGTTTACGGTTCATCAAAATCATATATTGGATATTAAAAATTGTAAAATTATCAGAGAGACGAGCCAAAAACTCACTTCCAACAACACCGATACTGTTCCCAACTTGGTAATTACCACCTGCACAATCCGTCAGGTGTGAGGTTTATCTCAAAAGGCATCGGCATTAGTTGGAGTGAGATTTAGATATTTAAACTCTTCTTTTTTTATTTCTCTAGCCGATGTGGGATTTCAACAAAAATATGGTGATGTTGTAAGATTAAGAGTTAACGATTACACTTCCTTTCAATTTTTGTAGGAGTATCGAGCAGAATTATTTCACCGGTCCCCTACCGGCATTCATTGGCAATATGTATGCATTGACTGAATTGTAAGTAGTGAGAGAACATTTCTTTAAGTACTCATACTCCTGATGAGACCCGTAGCAATTTGTATACTTCATTTTGAATATCATAATCTACAGTTATGTTCTTTACACCTTTTCGCTACTATTTATGCCGTAACTAAGTTTAATGGTGCTTATCCTTCACTAACTGACATCTCCATTCAGGTCAATTGGCTGGAATTCATTCTCTGGGCCCATCCCCAAGGAGCTTGGAAACCTTACGGAGCTAACATATTTGTAAGCCATGAAAAATTAGAGAGCGTACAATAAAATTTTGTGTCGTAAACATTAGATACAAAACCTGTTGTTATAAGCTAAATATCTAGTTATGAATGAACAATCGAAGAACAGAAAATGAGAAGGATAACAATGGAAGAATATTCTGAAGGTTTCTCTCTAGCAGAGCATATTCTCTTCATCTCTCTACAATTCACACACACTCTGTGCTTTACATAACCGTTGGAATCCAAGGTGGATTCTCTCTCTTCACAAAACAATCTCAGCCTTACATCTAGCTAGTTGCTAGGATCATTACACCTGGCATTATTTGCCTTACTACATTAGAGCTGCACACTTAGTATTTTAAACTCAAGTGAATATACAAATTTGATACCCAGCTTATTTCCTAATCAGCTATAGACTTACAATTCAACAGAACCTTCTATCACTCTTCAATAATTGCTTTCAAGTAAGTGTTTGCCCGTTCAACATGACTTGCAGGGACATCGGATCAAATAATTTCTCCGGAACACTCCCTCCAGAACTTGGTAATTTAGTCAAGCTCGAGTTCCTGTAAGTGCTTCGTTAAATCATCAAATTTGAATTACATGTTAATTCCTTACGGATGAGCAAAAATTGCACTTTATCGTATGAAATGGGTATTAATCAGTTGCCTTATGATTTTCACAGTTACATTGACAGCTGTGGACGCGGTGATGAAATTCCTTCAACATTTGCCAAGCTCACCAACATGCAAGTCCTGTAAGAACGGCTCTTAAATCGTATTTTAGATTTGTTCGTTTATCCAGTACTTTGAGATTGCTTTTCTAGGATGAGCTTAGTATAAGTCAACTTTTTGAATTTTAGGTGGGCATCGGACAATCCTTTCTCAGGAAAGATACCCGATTTCATAGGGAATTGGACACAACTCACTTCTTTGTAAGTAGAGAAACCTTTGATCTTTTGCAGTTTATGAAAGCAGACCTGAGATGGATAATTTGTTCACAAGCTTCTTATATGTTTCTGTAGGAGATTTCAAGGGAACTCTTTCGAAGGCCCAATACCAACCAGCTTTTCTAAACTGACCTCATTGAAGTATCTGTAAGTAAATTGTAATTCTCTCTCTCTTTCTCCGAAGACGGGATTTCAGTTTATTTTGCATATAATGATGTAGGCGAATCAGTGATATATACAATGGGAGCTCTTCTCTGGATTTCATAAAAAATATGAAAAACTTGACTGAATTGTAAGTGAAGATTCTCATCGATCCAGATACTTTCATCAAATTTGATATCTTACTCCATCTACTTTTATCAAATTTTATGTTTTTGGAATACAGACAACTACGAAACGCAGTAATCACTGGTACCATCCCATCTGATATTGGAGAATTTCAAAGTCTAGAGACACTGTACGTACCAGCAAATATAAGCTTGAGTCCCAACGAGACCAATTAGTTTTCTTTCATTCTGATTGCTCCTCTCAACTTATCGTTGGTGTTGCAGGGATCTGAGTTTCAACAATTTGACAGGCCAACTCCCACGTTCTTTGTTCAACTTGAGTTCTCTAACATCCTTGTAATCCCCGTCTTTATTATTATCTTTTTCTTGCCTTATCATACATAAGTTATCAAATCTTCAGCACTCCTACTTTGATTGAAGATCTGACCTTTTGTTTGTTCATCTCTTTTTCTTTTCTGGGTGCCTTCTACTATAATCGAAATGGCCAGGCTTCTTGGAAACAATAGTCTCTCCGGATCTCTTCCGAGCCAAAAGATCGATGGACTTGAGACTATGTAAGTCCTCGTTTCTAAAAGTAGTCATATAGAATGCACCGTGCATGTATGTGTTTGTGTATAATCGTAAGCATTCTAATCCTATCTTACACAAGTTCTTAATAACTTTCATGCATTTTGTGTCTTTTGATTCTATTTTGTTATTTGCAGAGATTTGTCTTACAATTTTTTATCAGGAAGCTTTCCCCAGTGGGGGTACAAATTGCAACCGTACGTGTCCTTTTATCTTTCACGTTCATTTTATAGTTTAAATCACCAGAACATGTTCGGACAAAAAATTATCGTTGAGATTCGTTTTCACAGTGCCACTTGCCTGCCTACTATGTTTTGATCTTGTACAAGGAATTTTCCTTTGATAAAGATATAGTTCTTCATACGTTGATTGATTAATGATTTTATGCAGGAACTTAGTGGTCAACAACTTCACATTTGACAGTCCAAACATAACGTGGGTTGAAGTTTCTCTTACTCGTTTTTAGACAAGCAATACTATCACTACTCTACCACTACATGTTTCTATTTGGATAACTAATAATTTTTCTCTGTGTTTGCAGTCCTCTTGGATTGAATTGCCTCCAGAGAAATTTTCCATGCAATCGAAATACCACACGATGTAATCCGCTCTTATGTCACCCATCATTTACTATTTTAACGCAGCGTCATGTTAGAGGAAAAGGCATTGCATCTCTAGTTATGTATACATATGGATATAGATTGCAAGCATGTTTCCTTAATTTCAGTAATACGCATAACTGGTTAGAAACATGTGACTGAAGAACATTAGTATGAGTCTTCAATTTGAAGTTTCATCGCTAATCATGGGTAGATTCTGGTATTACAGCAAGCTTCTCAATCAATTGTGGTGGACCGCAAATGCCAGGAAGTGATGGCATATTGTATGAGGCTGACGACTTAGATCATGGTCGAGCGACATTCATTGTAACCAATACAGAGAATTGGGCTGTCAGCAGTGCCGGTTCGGTTTCTGACGAACATGTTTCTATATACAGAAATAACACATCGTTTCAAGTGAATACCCTTGCACAAGTCACCGGAACAAATGTGACCCCGGCACTTTACCAGACTTCAAGAATGTCCCCGGGATCACTGAGATACTATGGCCTGGGACTTGTGAATGGGCCCTACATTGTAACATTGCACTTTGCAGAGACGGTTTATGAAAGTCGAACTTCGCATACTTGGCAAAGTCTAGGACGGCGTGTATTTGATATCTATATTCAGGTAAGACTACTTATAGAATAAAAATTCTAACTTATTTGAAGTAAACACCTCATTGGACAGGTTTTCGATGTTTTAAGCTACATTAACTAAAGACAGTGATTTAAAGGAGACTAGAATTATCACCTACCTCTTCATTTGGTTGCTAGGGTACCCGCAGGACGAAGGACTTTGACATATCGAAGGAGGCAGGTGGTGTTAACCAAGCAGTTGTGAGAAAATTTAATGTTAACGTGTCAGAGAATTATCTTGAAATTCATCTGTTCTGGGCTGGTAAAGGGACTTGTTGCATACCCAATTATAGTGATTACGGCCCACTAATAGCAGCTATCCATGCTACTTCAGGTATAGTATGTGTTAACTTATAAAGATTTCTTGTGAGTGGTTTAAATGTATTTTTCTGCTGTTAATTGACATTGAAGAATTCGTCTGTTTTATCACTTAGATTTTACACCAACAGTTTCCGGGCTTCCACCAACTACTCCAGGAAAGAAGAGCAAGACTAGGTTGACAGTTGGTATTGCAGTTCTTGTTGGAGTTGTGAGTTTGTTGTTAATATTTGCGATTCTATATATGAGGAGGAAAAAATCAGAAAAAGAAGATGATGAAGGTAAACGACCATATCATTACTGGTACCCAATTCAAGTTTCTCTGCTCTGACATTAACACACAGAAGTAAGAATGCTTTCACGAAAGTAAAACTTACGTCATACTGTTTTGTGAATGTGCAGATATTCTAGGATTTGGCCCCCGGCCATATACTTTCAGTTATGCTGAATTGAGAGCTGCAACTGAAGATTTTAATCCTTCAAATAAGCTAGGAGAGGGAGGATATGGCCCCGTTTATAAGGTGAAATTCGTATTACATCAATATCAAGTACTTGAAGTAATGACAAGAGAAAGGAGAGAGCAAGAGAAGAAAATAGCTTTTGTTTTCTTTCCTTTCACGTCACGAAATTGTGTTTCTGTGTACATTGTAGGGTACACTTTCTGATGGTAGAGTAGTGGCTGTGAAGCAACTTTCAGTATCATCTCACCAAGGGAAGAGGCAATTTGTATCTGAAATTGCTACCATATCTGCTGTGCAACATCGGAATTTAGTGAAATTGTATGGATGCTGCATTGAAGGCAGCCACCACATTTTGGTTTATGAGTATCTTGAAAACAAGAGCCTTGATCAGGCACTTTTTGGTACAAACCTATCTACCTTTAGGTTGCACAAAAACAACATTGTTTGCTATTTCAAGCACTCTAAAATTGTTAAGAAATGTTTTTGATTGGATGTGTTCACTAATATTTCAGGAACAAGTAACTTGCACCTTGACTGGCCTACTCGATTCAATATATTGTTGGGAACAGCACGAGGACTTGCTTACCTTCATGAGGAGTCAAGGCCAAGGATTGTACATCGAGATGTCAAAGCAAGTAATATTTTGCTCGATGCAGAACTCTCCCCAAAAATATCAGATTTTGGATTGGCAAAGCTTTATGATGACGAGAAAACCCACATGAGCACCCGGGTTGCAGGGACAATGTAAGCCATCCTCTATTGTTTTTCCAGAGGATACATACATTATGGCCACACACATTTATACTTGCACGAAATTTTCACACATGTTAATAATGCCTCTAATGATCTCAAGTAACATTGTGCAACCATTTGATTATCTTGCATTGCAGAGGCTATTTGGCACCAGAGTATGCATTGTTTGGACATTTGACAGAGAAGGCCGATGTGTTTGGTTTTGGAGTCGTTGTTTTAGAGATCCTCGGCGGGAGACCAAACTCTTACAATAACTTGGATCCAAAAAAGATTTCTCTTCTGGAATGGGTAGGAATTGCATTCGCCTAGCTTCATTTAGGCATTGTTGTGAAAAACTCATTTATACTTTCCTTCGACTGTGGCATCATGTTTTTTAGGTGTGGACTCTGCATGAAAACGACCAAACTCTGGGGCTGGTGGATCCAAGATTGACAGAGTTTGATGAAACCGAAGCAACTAGATTGATAAGAGCAGCTCTCCTGTGCACACAAGGATCACCGATGGCACGGCCATCTATGTCACGCGTGGTTGCAATGCTCTCTGGAGACATTGACATAGGCACTGTCATGTCGAAGCCAAGCTATTTGACAGATTATGATTTTAAAGATGTAACAACATCGTTAACAAGTAGATTTTTGGTGGAGGATGATACCCCATCAACTTCATCCAAGGGTAGTAATGTTCGCCTCAACTATCAGTCGGGAGGCAGCAATGCAAGTGGTGCTTCTGTAAACGTCACTCAATCACTACTAGCTGACATTAAAGGAGAGGAGGGTGAGAAATATTGAGAACTGATTTTCACACGCTCTTTTTACCCCATCGTAGATGCCTATAAACAAAAGCCACGAGTTGGCTCTAGATGAGTTAATGCCAATTGTTGATTCATTAGTGTCACCGTATTGTGACTCTTTGGTAAGGTTTTTGCATAAGCAACCTCTTTTACATGAATGATTATTAATTGTTCGTCGATCAATGTCACCTGAAGAAAATCTTTGATTATTAATTGTTTCTCACATGAGTGGTCTCACCGGTGGGGCTGGGTAAAACGAAAATGTAGGGAAGTTCATGCTCACCAAAGCAAATCTCAATTGAAAAATAACCTCGAACCAACCAAAAATTCCAAAGCAAGATCAACCCATTTAAGGCTATGGTGCTCATCTAGTTGTCTTTGTGCCCTTTTTCTTTACATTTGGAAGTGCCAGTGCCAGATCACTTAAGGCAACAAGTCTAGGCCCCACATTTTATTCGTTTCTATTGCCCTACTCAAAGTGACTGTTAGAATTTGAACGTTATAAGCCTACCGTTTTCAAGTCCCACTTTTTTAGTTCTTGTCACTCACTTTGCTCTTCTCTACAAAAGTATTAATTGCACGCACGCACGCACGCACGCACACATTTCCCTTCCATGGCTTGTCACTCAATCGAAGCAACAAAAGCCCCAAAGCCAAACCTGCCGACACACACACACACACACACATTTCCCTTCCATGGCTTGTCACTCAATCGAAGCAACAAAAGCCCCAAAGCCAAACCTGCCGACAAGGTGTTGTCGACATCACACAGCCAACCAATTCTTCTGCTTCCCCTGCTTTGAGTAGACCTCCATCATTTTCTTCCACTTAACATCAGCCTCTTGCTCAAGCTCAAAATACTTGATATAGCTTAATATGTCATGCGACAGCAGCGCTGCACGCCAGGATCAACCTCATTAGCTACAGCCAGTTGCTCTCGCGTGTACTTCGCTCTATAACCCCACCGTTGGCAGGTTCCCAGGCCTCTGGTGCCATAGTTTTCCTCAAGGGCGACAAAACCTCCTTTATCAGTCGGTCAATACAACAAAGACTACCATCCCCTTCTCAGAGGCATGATTCTGACTAGAAAACCTTCCTCGCAATGTTTTCAAACAACATATGATGATCAGCAATGGTAGGCAAAAAGGTAACTGCTTGGGTAATCTCCAAGCAATAATCATCATGATGGTCATGGTCATGGTCCTTGTGATGATGAAATTTTTCAATATCAAACTTGAGGCTCTGGGCAAAAATATCCAAAACACAGTTGTGCAAGAAGCAATAATCAACGTCGCGCTTGTATTTTTGAGCTGCCTTGTTGGCCGTGTGGATCACCTTCCTCCTCAACAACAATTCGCTTACCTCTGACTTGGCATCCTTTTCCTTGACCTTCACCATCCCATTTGAATCCGCCTTTTCCCTCGTCCTTCCAGTAAATTTCAAGTGAGCTTCGCCCCGTAAAACCTGTGAAAGAATGCAGGGAAGGTGTAGGATATGTCCAAAGGAGCCGGAAATTGGCACAAGATTGTATGCAAGGGTTTTCGAGTGGTTCTGGTGGAGCCAAATCGCCGCTATGAAGAAAGCTTCGTCTTGGTTGCGTTTTTCACCGTCGCTGCGTCTATCTATGAAGTTGCAGATGAGTTTGTGGGTGGTTAGAGGATTATGCGACCAGGCCAAGGGAAGCACTTGGTTCATCAGAGTTTGTGGAATTCCACGATCGACATGGCGTCCTTGGTGCAATGGAAGTACATTATCAACGTAAGGGTTATTGATGTTGTGGAAGCCTAATTGGCGGAGCAATTCTTGTGAATTGCGATCAAACAACCTTGTTTCGGCATGCTTCCATAATCAACATCACTAGCAGGAATGCCTGCGCTTTGCTACAGGTTTTCAAACCATGAATAACATTCGTAGAAAAATTAACTGAAAATGCTTCAGAAATACAATCGCATTCTTAAATGTAGCAATTCAGACCACATGTTTCAGATGAGTAACGCTCACAAAACCACACATTTACACAATTATCTCCAAATGAAAGAAGAAGCAAGAGATAGGTGAATTGATCCATAAAATAAGTAGTTCAATTTACATTGCTACTCTCTTGTAACTTATTAGAGCTTCTTTGCAGATCAATCATAATGATTTCTTCATTGCTTTCACCAAATATTTCTATAGTTTTCTAGTAGTCCAATTGACAGAAAAAATCGCTGCTTTGAATGTGTTGTAAAGATAATACCACCAACTAAGGGTGGCAATTGATTCTTGTAATAACATACTATAAAAGTAAAGGTATGGATAAAAAAGAAAATGCATCCTTTGAAAGATATAGAACAAACCTGGAATTCAACGAATTGTTCTTTTACAAAGCGCAACACCAAACTTGATTTCCCAGCTCCAACATCCCCAAGAAGCACCTGAAAAGGAACATCAAACATCACTGTGGTGATCATGACATGCAATACCCAAAGAAAATAAACCTATTCATCACATAATGCTAAAATACATATGCCTACATATCCATAATTCCTATGTTTACGAAACATCTTTCGATAAATCACGACCTTCATTTTAATATGGACTGTTGTATTTGTATTTTGCTTGTGAGTATGGTCTTGGTTAAAACTTAGCATTCTAGCATTTACTTATATGATATCATATAGCAAGAAAGCTTTGAGACCGAGTCACAGTTTATTGTATTCTCAGAGACCCTCAAAATACCAAAGCTAGACAGAGATAAACAACACGAAAGAGAAATTTCTGCTTTACATGTACAGTGACATTTGCATGTGCAGAGCTCTCTTTCCTCCTTTCTTTTCTTCCTCACCTGTTGGTTCTTTCTCCTAGATTAAGGAGATTGTTGTTTTATTGTTAGTGGTTGCCATCATCATCACATTCAAATCAACTTTAGTTAATACTAGCCTCCCTACACGCACTCACGCGCGTGCGGAAGACCCTTTTGTAATTAAGGCGTTCTACGCGCGACTTATATAATTTAAATGATAACAAAATAACGGTTGATCTCTGATCTAATTGCAGACACAATCTACAGAACCGTCTTCTATTGAACTTGTGAAGTGTGGGGTGGAGACCTGAATGTAACAAATTGGTGTTAAGTGAATAATTCCAAACATATAAAATTTTGATCATCACACCGAACGCAAACAGAACAATTAAATAAAGAACTAAAGGCATACACAATCTAATTAGACAAGGTGAACTTTCCCATGCCGAAATCTGAAAGACCAAAAGAAATATCTCATTACACAGAAGACAAAACTTAAAACTAATCAAACATGGTGAACCAATTATAGAGAACATAACCCTTGTAACCAATCGGGAAAAGATGCTTTTAAATCCGAGAAGAAAAAAAAAATTAAGAGTTTTTAAAAAACCATCATTTCAATTATTTTCCAGTCTTACATTTGGGATTAAACATAAAATATAACTAAAAATGCCAACTTTCTAAAAAAACCTACGACTATTTTTAAAAATTTCCATTACCCAATACTGAAAAATGAGAATCACGAAGCAATGAAGAACAGAACACACGAGAACCAAAAAGTTAAAAACAACACGTAACCATTTCAAAGACCCAAAATCCTGCAAGGACAAAAAAAACTCATAAAATCAGTACATCAGCGCTCCCTGCAAAACCCCAAAATCAGAAAATTATAAAAAGAACCCAAAATCAATGGCATGGTCCTCATTTCTCCATCATTCAGTAGCTAATGACCTAATGGAAAAGAACCCAAAATGACAGCTTAAAATATGGAAAGTGCTTATAAAAGCTCATGAATAACGTTCGAAGCCTACATAGAAATGGTATAGCGCAGATAACAACACACAATAAAACTTTGCACAGTATAACCTAAATCCGATATGTTGCATTCCCCACACACAGATTGTTCAAAATTAATTTCGTCTCCGTCTTCTTTCAAATCTGATAAAATCCCCAAAACACAAAAAACAGCAGCTAACTATTTTTTACTCTGTAAACAACAATATGCATCTTAACCCATTTAACATATTCATAAAATAACATCAAACACATTTAACCATGAGATAATATAGAAGTGAAGTCTCACAACTTTCATAAAAAATTATTACTTTGTTAGAGAAAGGCTTGAAAAAATATGTAAATTACTCACCTCTATTACAAAAATGTTACAACAGCTGATAAAAAAGGCCAAAAATACGAAAAGCCGCACCTCCTGAAATAAAAAACAGAACCAAACAACACATTCACAATATCAATCTAAACGATATCCAGAAAAAAAGAAATGAACAGACAAAACCCATGTAAATATACAAAACAAACCAAAAAATAGAAAGAGCCGAAGCCAGTAAGAAAATCACAAATCTGATACAACAAAAGGTAACATAATCTATATCGATTTAATTATCCATCCAAAAAGACATTTGAACGAAGAATATTTTTAAGGATCCAAACAACCATTAAACTAAACAATTAAAAGTAAAAACAGCAAAGCATTCATTGAAGAAATATATATATACACACACATACATACATACATACATATATATATATATATATTATAACGTATTTGGCTCTTTATACCTAAAAGAAAAACATTGGCTTTCTTGTATGCACTGAAGTATGCATGTGTCTGAAATTTACAATCTATAGAGACTCAATCTCAGACTCAAAAGACATTTAAAGGAAAAGTAATAAGAAAAATAAGTAGTGGTTATACCTATACTCCATGTGTGGACTGCAATTTCCAATCACAATTCAAAATTCAAGAGGCCTATAAATCAACCACATAGGAAAGGATCAGTACAAGAAAAAGAAAAACAACTGGAGCCAAAATAGCATCTAACAAATCATTTAGAACCATCACAGAAAACAATTTTTGCATATAAGTAATTTAAAGGAATACCATCAGGTCATGCATATATACAACGTACCCAATTAGATTAGTAAGCACATCAACAATTGATGATCAAAAAGTTATTCAACCTCAATTGCTTGAATCTAATTAACTCAAAGATAATAAACAGTCCATTTAATGCACGGGCTGACTGTCAATTTTACAAAACCATAATTCTGTGCAGTTCAAAAACCAAGTGGAAGAATAGGCAAAAACTATCTCATCGCCTGTAAATGTAATTAACTAAATATTAAACTTCACAGCCACAAATAAACCTAAATTCCTCCTAAAACTATCTCATTTAAGCTTGATTTTACTACAATCTATAAGTGTGGTAAAAAATGGGAGGCCAAACGATTTGTTAACAAAAAAGGTAGACATAAAAGTAAAAGGAACAGGGCAGACATTAGTTGAGGAGAAGCTAATGTCACCTTGAATTGACGACAAACAGTTCTTATCTTTCTGATTATCAACTATAATCACAAAAAAGTTGAGAGATTACTTTCTGATTATCAAAACCACTATTGGATTTATGCAGACATAAAATCTCACAATATTATTACCACGACCTTATGCATAATAGGAACAACACTATAATCATCTGCCTACCAGAAATTAACTCTTCTACAGCTGCAAGTTTAACAACCAACCAACCTTTGAACAAAGAACACAGGGACAGAAAGAAGCAGGATACATAAGGGGCAAAACAATTTTCGTACTTCTACATCAAAGCAAAAGAACAATCATTATCATCTGGGGAACAAATCCAAATGGCAGCTTTTAGGTACCTACAATTATAAGCAAAGTTTAGAATTCACAAAAAATACTGGGCAAATACTAAGGCTGCCATTTGAAAAAGCTAAACAACAAAAAATTTTGACAAACTAACTACAACTAAATTCAGATGACATTCGATATATGAAGACAATCTGAGAAATCAAGGGCTCTAAAATCAATACCATATTTCATGTGCCTTTTATTGATAGTAACCAGGATAAAAATTTGATTTAGAAACTTGCTATCTTTGTCCTTCTAAATATGATATTTTGGCATCGGCAATATATAAAAAAAAAAAAAAACAAATATATCTGAACTCAAAGAAAATATAGAACGAAAATAAAAAAGCAAATTATGAACGGTTAGAAGCTAATTTCATTAGCAATTAAAGCAACCAAGCTCTCTCAACATAAAGATTCATAACACCCCAGGAACCCAGAAATTTGATGAAAATTTTTCTAATCAGTCAATTGGATTAGACAAAAGCATGAATTTTTTTCTAAAGCCCAATTATATTAAATCACAAATTTGAAGCAGATTTTGACATGCAATAAGTCAATAAGATAGGAATCGCTTCAGAATAACCTCAATGGCAGGGCCTCCGGAATCGCCCGATCTGAACCAACCATTAAAAAAAAAAAAAAATCTATTAACATGATCCTCAACCTAACTATAAAGAGGAGCTTTATAACATGCCAAAACAACCAAGCCCAACAAATTAACGAACTAATTTTTCTTAATCAATAATAGCATACATATTATCAAATTATCAATCAATAATTCACATATCGTTAAGGGTTAAACAAATATATGACGACTGAAAATTTACTCACATATCTAATATATCCTTGTATTTCTATTTGAATTCAGAGTGTGGAAATCACATCAACAAATCAATGCCCTAAATTTTTATCATCCTGAACTGAAAAAATCTGTAAAATCTAAAATTTTTGACCAAAAATGCTAACTTAGGAATATGAGGAAATTTGCAAATTAGCTAAACAATGCTATTATTTATCCAATCAAAGGCAAACTGGAATGGTGCAGAACTAACACTACAAAATTCGTTAAACTAAACAATGGGTAGAATGTTTATAAGATTTATATTTTATACAAAAATTAATCTACTAAAAAAATAAAAACCACAAATTTTTTGTTAAGCAATCGCATGGATTATAAATGCCAAAGTTTAGATGATGGTAGGCGTCAGATTACCTCTTTCGCCGAAGATGCGAAACCCCTCATTGCCGACGTGGCGGGGCGGATCCTCCGCCCCAAAATCTGAACCAACACAAAGATTAGGCAGTAAATCACGTAATAATAAATTAATCAAGTGTTTTATATAATGAAAGTTCATAAATTGCAGAAGTAGAGGGTGTACCATAGCTGATGAGCTTCCAGCTCCCACTTTTTGGCTTTAAATTCCCAACATCTTTGATTCTTTCACACAAAATCACACTGAACGCAAACAAAAATCAGAAACAAAATACGAACTAAGAACTGAAAATTTTGGTGAAAGCACTGAGAGAGATGAGGAGGAATAACAAATGATTTACTGGAAATATGGAAAAAAATCAGATCAAAATTCGGACAGAAATAAACAATACACATTAGGGATTTGGGAAGGGGGACGAACCTGTTTGGCGGATTGGAGCCGGGATCGGATCGACGATGCGATGTGTAAAAAATGAGCGTTGAGGAGCGGAGCAGCAGCAGCCAACACTTCCCTGCTACTTGAAAACCCAGATCAAACCAACCCTTAAGTTTCAAGGTCATTGTGCACGTAGCCCACGTAATCCGTTAATGGCAGAGTTATCAGTTTGATTAAAAGATTGTTTCAAAATTAACGTTTTAGGTATAATTTTAGAACGAAAAAAGTTTAATGTACCAAATGTTGAAAAACACGAAATTTAAGGGCAATAAACCGATATTTACCCTAAATTTAAATAACTAAATTTAACAACCACTGCTTGTTTAGTATGACGCAGATTTCCTCCGTTTGATTGCTAAAATAATGTTCAGAAACAAAACAACTTAATTTCCGTTCTATGTCGTGATGAATGTTTATTTTAACTAGCTTATTGAGTTTATAACTTATGATTTTAAGATCTTCAGCTTTAATATTTAAAGATTAATTTTTTTTTAGTGAAGTGGTTAAAGAAGAGTACAAGAAACGTTCTGTTTATTCCTCCTTAATAGATCAAGGAAGGTGAGTTGATCCTAAGATTGAATATGGTATTTCAAGTTTTAACCCTTTGCTGTATTTTTTTTTTAATCAGTATTTGGCAAGCCATCATACATAATAACATAACTTAAGACTCGTTTGGATGTATTTTTAAAATAACTAAAAACACTTTTAGAGAAAATGTTTTTGAGTTCAAAAGCACTTAAAATGTTTTCTGCAAGAAACACCAGTTATGTGCTTCTTCCAGGAAGCATTTAAGTGTTTTTCTAGGATTTACTTGCATTTTTACAAAAGATTGGTTCTAAAAATATTTTCACCATAAACGCTTTCAATCATTTTGAAAGCACATCCAAACGAACTCTTAACACTTGCCAAAACAATTAAACATGTAATATAACTTAGCATTTACATTTTTCGTTTACAGTTGGTAGCCACAAATCAACTGACTCAACTTTATATCAATATTGGAGCCTTAAAAGTGTAAGTCATCTTTTTCATTCTATTTTATAAAATGAATTAAGTTCTGAAGTTTATATATTCTGAAACTTAAGTATTACACACACACACATATATACATATCACTTCATGAACATAATACATGTAAATACAAAAAAAATTTAAAATTTTTTGTATCCGGGCTGTATCGATGAAATATTTTTTTATGTAAAAATTTTCTGACATTTTATGACACACCCCGACCGAGGTCAGGGAGTGCTGGCCGTCACGTGAAGGTGACGTAACCATGTGCACAGTGCGGAAGCTAATAAAATAGTAATAGAAGAAGTACGAATAAATAAAAACTAGCATACAATGTAATAGTAATAAGTGTTAGCGTAAGTGAGACACAAGTTCAGAGCAGAAAGCCTAAAGCAGTCCAAACTAAAATGACGCTACAACAGTACACCCGAAGGTGGACCTACGTTGGTGATCGTCTGTCAGAAATGCCGGGAAAGCCCTCTGGGAGACCACCGAACCTGCTAGGTAGCTAGAACCTGGAGGGGCGCAAAACAAAAGCGTGAGTGGGCAAAAACAAAGCTTTTCGAAAACCATTTCAAAAACAAGATTCTAACCCCTCGCCGTAAAACCTGTATACTTCCCAGAAAAATAAACATATGTATATAAATATAGATATGCCAATCATGCATAAGAATATGTCATGCCAAATCTCACAATGAAATGCAAGCACTCAGGTATAAATCACACCAATAATATATAATCTGGCAGCCGGAGTCACCTAACGTGACCTGTACGGCTGCATCTAGAGCTTAGATCTCAATCACAATAACTAAACCTGCCCACGAGTCGGAACCACCTAAAGTGGTCTGTACGACAGGCCTGGGTGTAATACATATAAACGCTCTAGTGCTACGATCACGTGAAGGCTGTGCGAATAATCGCGGGTCACCTACGAGTCGGAACCACCTAAAGTGGTATGTACGACAGGACTGTGCACCTAACTTGGATCCAAGCTGAGCGTGTGGTGCGGGAGGTGAACAACACGTGAAGGACTGTGCCCTACTCTGGGCGGGAGCACTAACACCGGGGGTGCAGGTTATGAGCTCTCTAAACATCTCGAATCACTACTGAATATAAACGTGAATAACACTTACCTGACACTTACCTGTGCGTCCACCGCACCAACATACATACGAACATATATATGTATATATATATATATATAAATGCAACTAATCATGCATAACAACCAACTATATGAAAATGGCATATAAATAATAAACATTTATATCAATTTCAGGGAAATATAAGTATATAGGTATATACGGAAAACCAAAAGCCCACTCACTGATAAGTGGAAGGGTCGTAGCCCCCCTGCCTCAAGTGACCACGCTCGTCCTCGGGATATGTCTCACCTATATGCGAAATAACTATAAAAACGTTAATTTTAAAGCACATAACCAAACTTTAGAAATAACTTCTCATACATTGCTCAAATGAGGTGTATGAATACACCAACGTGATCTACTCAACCTCACGAACATCCCCAAATTTTTAAAATAATTTTTCATCGCCGCACGCGCCCTCACGCGCCGGCCAAGGCACGGCCACACGCGCCGGCCACGCGCAGGCACGTGCCTGGCACGCTAACGGCGTCAACTGACGCCGTAGGGAATATTCCGTTATTCCTAACGGTTTCCGTCAACGGCGTCAGGAATATTCCGTCAGATTTGACGGAATATTCCGTCTTCTTCCCCGGCGAGCCTCCGGCGCCGGAAAATCGCGAAAACTTTAAACTTCGATATCTTCTTCGTTTTTCAACCAAATTCCACAATTTTGGTACCAAAATGAAGCCTAGAACTAGAGGAACACAATCATACCACTTTCAAGGGTTAAAAACCATGAAATCTCACCTGAAAAATCGATCCAACTCCGGCCAACTTCGAAACCAATGATCTCGACGTCCAATTCCTTCAAACGAACTACTCCGAGCCTCCTTGGGAACTCACCAAGCTTCCTACAAGCTTGAAATTTCCTAAAACGTGAGAAATCACGTGTGCATGAATAGTACCCAAATCGGACATCGTTGAATCGACGTGAAAACGATGGAGTTCTCACCTGAAAATGGTATGGCTGGACTCCTACAATCCTCACGAGCTCGAATATGGTCTTGGTTTCCTCGATCTGTGGAAGTTTAGTTGGTTTTGGGTGTGTGTCCGTATGTTCGAAGGAAATGGAAGGCAAATGGGGCTCGGGACAGTGCAGGAAACAGGGGGAAAAGGGCTGTGGTGTGTGGGAAGGTGTATGTGGTTCCAAACAAGCCAACATAACACAAAAACAACCAATAAACGTAACGAAATCGAACTAGGGGCAAAGTAGTCTTTTCACACGTACGTTTTTGATATTTTTGGGACGGGCTGTCACAACCTACCCACCTTATTAGAATTTCGTCCCGAAATTCAAAACAACCAAATAATAACCCCTAGTGACCAAGGAACAACCGAGGATACAAATCCCTCATCCGATCTTCTGTTTCCCACGTAGCTTCCTCCACGGAATGATTCCTCCACAAAACTTTCACCAAGTTCACCGTCTTATTCCTCAGAACCTTTTCCTTCCAATCTAGTATCGTCACTGGTTCCTCGTCATAAGTCAAATCTGGATTAATCTCCAAGGGCTGTGGAGGTATCACATGAGACGGATCAGCAACATAATGTCGAAGTATGGACACGTGAAAAACGTTATGCACTCTAGCCAACTCTGGAGGCAATTCCAACCTGTAAGCTACCTCACCAACTCGCTCTGTGACCATGTATGGTCCGATGTACCTGGGACTCAACTTGCCTTTCTTCCTAAACTTCACAACACCTCTCTACGGTGAAAGCTTCAGAAATACCCAATCTCCGACTTCATACGTTCTGTCCGTAGCATGCCGATCTGCTAAGCTCTTCTGCCTGTCCTGGGCTGCTTTCAGGTTAGACTTAATTACCTGAACATTTTGAGTAGTCTCCTCAACAATCTCTGGACCCACTAAGACTCTTTCTCCAACCTCTGACCAACACAACGGTGTGCGACAAGCTCTACCATATAATGCCTCAAATGGCGCCATGCCAATACTCGAATGAAAGCTGTTATTGTAGGCAAATTCCATCAAATCCAACCGCTGGTGCCTAGCATCACCAAACTGCAACACCGAAGTTCGCAACATATCTTCCAAAGTCTGAATAGTTCTCTCTGATTGTCCGTCTGTCTGAGGATGATACGCCGTGCTATAAAGTAGCCTCGTACCCAAAGCTTCCTGAAAAGCCACCCAAAACTTAGATGTAAATCGTGGATCACGATCCGAGACAATACTCACAGGGACACCATGGTACTTCACAATCTTCGAGATGAACAACTCTGCTAATCGGCCCAAAGAATACTTCTCCCTCACTAGAATGAAATGTGCCGACTTAGTGAGCCGATCAACGATCACCTATATGCCATCAAAACCATTATGTGTACGCAGGAGCTTGTACACAAAATCCATGGTAATATTTTCCCATTTCCACTCTGGAACGGGAAGCGGCTGCAACAACCCAAACGGCTTCTTCCTTTCTGCAACAACCCAAACAACACAAAATCCATGGCATCTTTTGATACATGGATTGGGCACGCCTTTTTCGGGGTCCTGGGAGCTCAAAATGACATCAACGTCCTTACCCAATCCCCAGTGTTCAACGATGTCCTGCAAGGAAAGGCACCAAAAGTTACGTATGAGGTCAACGGACGTATGTACGACGGGCCATACTACCTAGCTGACGGCATTTACCCGCGATGGTCAACATTTGTCAAAACAGTGCCACGTCCGCGGAGTGCAAAGGAAAAACACTTTGCAAGCTGTCAAGAGGGGTGCAGAAAGGATGTGAAGCGTTGTTTCAGTATCCTCCAAGCTCGCTGGGCGATCGTCAGGGGTGCTGCCAGATTGTTTGATGTAGAGTCGCTTCGATCCATCATGATGACGTGCATCATTCTTCACAACATGATTGTGGAAGATGAGTACGATTATGAAGCCGTTGATGAATATGAGTCAGACCCGATGAACAATTCAAGAACACGTATATATTGTGCTCATGACGCCACCGATGAGCCCGTGCAACATGAGCCATTACAAAGGGATGGATGTTACAATGAAAGGCTCATTCAATGATATACTGCATTTCAAATGCCAGACATGCACAATGCCCG